CCCAGCCGAAAGAAGAATTAGAGACTAACACATTTATTGTAGCATAAGCTTTTGTGGGCTACACAGCCCACTTCTTCGGATGCATGTAGTGGAAAATACAGAAGGAAGATCTATATAATAATATATATATACACAGAGAACATGAAACAATGGGCGTTACCATACACGTTATAAGGAGAGTGATCAGTTAAGGTGAGCTGTTGTCAGCAGGAGAGAAAAATAACTGTTTGTGGTGGTAATGAAAATGGCCCATTTCCAGCACTTGACAAGGAGATATAAGGAACAAAGTAAAAGTATTTCCCCATGCTTATCTCACCCGCCCCCCGCCCCGCCACCCAGTTCTTTATATCTCCTTGTCAAGTGCTGGAAATGGGCCATTTTCATTACCACCACACACAGTTATTTTTCTCTCCTGCTGACAACAGCTCACCTTAACTGATCACTCTCCTTATAACCTGTATGGTAACACCCATTGTTTCATGTTCCCTGTGTATAGATCTAGATCTAGATCTTCCTTCTGTATTTTCCACTCCATGCATCTGATGAAGTGGGCTGTAGCCCATGAAAGCTTATGCCCAAATAAATGTGTTCGTCTCTAAGGTGCCACAAGTACTCCTGTTCTTTCTGCAGATACAGACTAACACGGCTGCGACTCTGAAACCTGTCCCAGCCGAGTGCGTCGGAAGAAAAGCTTGTGGGAGTGGAGTGGGAGGATGGGCCAGGAGCCCTGGGTTCGAGTCCTTGGGTGAGGGTCTGGGGGCTCAGCTGCCAGCTGTGAAAAGGGGGCGTTGCTTCCTGACTGCAGGGGGCTGTGACGGGGCAGGGAGCGGGCGGATTTGACCTGGGAATGTTGCAGGGGAGTTACATTGGGGATGGGAAGGAAGCTACCTGAGCCAGGAGGGGGGTTGGGAGAAGTGACACCTGCCCGGGAACTGGACAAAGGAGAGGAGGAGCAGAGGGGAGGGGGACAGAGCTGCTGGAGGAGTTGTTAGTGTCAGTTTGGTGCTGGGTGGTGCAACGCAGGGAACCCCAAGCTGGGGTCTAAGCTCCCTGAAACCCCAGAAGGACTTGACTGAGGGGTTCTGGTTGTACCTACAAGCTCTGCTGTAGACTGCGTTCCTACTGTCCACTAAACCTTCCATTTTACTAGCTGGCTGAGAGTCACGGTGAATCCCAGGAAGAGGGGTGCCGGGCCCTGACTCCCCACACTCCGTGACAGGGGTGAGCGCAGAGCGTGGCCGGTGGGGCCAGAGCCGGAGCAGCACCTAAGACGGAGCCATGGCCCCTCTACTCACAGAGGACAGTGAGTCTGGCAGACGTGCGTTTCATGGCGGGGATGCTGGAGTTATGCCTTGCTTCACACGTGAACTCCCTCTCATTGTCTTCCTCGCCAGCCGTCAGATGGAGCTGCACAAGGGGCTGGGCGGGGGGGCTGGAGACCAGGACTCGCTCGGCGTCTCTGAGCTGGAGCAGGACGCCCGGGGGGTCGGCCTCAGGAGAACGGCACGTAACGGTCACGCTGCTGTTAACGAGGGTCCGGGACTCGGTTACCTCCAGGACGGGCTCAGGGAGACCTGCAAAGGACCGGGACAGAGCTGCTGTTTGGCCCGGGCTGCCGATCCCCGTCCGAGGGGGAGCACGCTGGCTCCCCGGCAGGACGCTTCGCTCGAGACCGGACGGGTGAGATGGTCGAAGCCAGCTCGGGGCTGGACACACCTGGCCCGTTCAAGTTAACACCCAGACCCCGAAGGGAGTTAGGCCCAGATCCCATGGGAGTTAGGCACCTAAGTACCTTTGAATACCTGGGCCCAAATTCCTCCCGCAGGTTGCTCCACGCATGGATTGGTACCTAAATCCCCATGGCTCCCCCTGCCCCTCCCCTCCAGCTCCGGCCGGCGAGGGCTCCGTTCTCCGGCAGCGCCCGCTCCTCATGCCCTGCATCAGGGTATGAACCTGCCTCTCCCTAGCGGGGCAGGCCGGGCCAGGGGCAGACTGACCCCGGTCTCCGCATGGCCGGGGGCGGCTCAGTGGCCTCGCCCGCTCACTTCCAGCCCAGCGCGGCTCTGGCTCTCTGGAGCCGCTGGGAGGAATTCCCTGGCCTGGGCTATGCAGCCGCTCGGCCGCGATGACAGACTGGTTTGTTGGGAGCACCCCGGCTCAGTGGAGCGCCTGTGTGGGAGAGGAGCCAGGTCAGAGCCCCACAGAGGGGTGTCGGGGGATGAGTCCCAGGCCAGGCTAGGACTGGGCGTGGGAGCAGGGAGGGGATCTGGTGCGGGGGGGACCCGTGGGAAATCAGGCCGGGGGCGCTGAGTTCTGCTCTGGGCTTGGAGCGAGTTTCAGCCTGAAAACTCAGATGGAAAGTCCACGGGGAGGAACCGACGTGAACTGAAAGCAGCCCCCGCGGGAGCTGAACCCACAGAGATCTGCCCAGCCTCCACGCCAGCCCGGCCCACAGTGCCGACGTCCCCCGCCGAGCCCCTGAGCCCCCGAAATCCGGGCAGGCCGGGAGCCCCCCAGACACTCACGGTAAACGAGAACACTCTGCCCTGCGGATCTGGACACGGGCCCCACGGACACGGTGCAGTTCAGCTGGTGCTGTCCCGGGGACGGGGACCGAACCTCGCCCTGGGCGGTGGCCGTGTCGCCCAACGTGGTGACAGTGAAGTTCAGGTTCTCTCCCTCAAAGGACAAGATGAACCGGGCCTCTCCCGCGACGGGGAAGACCCCGGCCACCCTACAGCGGGCGAGCGCCGTGGCGCCCACCTCGATATACTGGGAGGTTTGGAGCCATGGCTCCTCTGGGAGATCTGCAGCGGGCGAGAAAAACCACCGCGGGGCATGAGGGAAACATCAGCAAAGGGAGCACTTGGGACCCTGTGACGAACTGGGACTGCTCGTAATGTGGTCTGTGAATGCTGAGTGGGGAGGTTGGCTGGGACGGTCTGCAGGGGGGGATGGGAGACTGGCCTTGAGGGAAGATACCTGAGCATGTAACGTGAGAACCCAGGAGGGGGCTGGGGCCAGGTGACACCTCTGCCCGGGAAATGGACAAAGGCTGGGGGAGGAGCCGGGGGGAGGCTGAGTGAGACGCTGGAGGGGGTTAGAGTTTTGGAACTGGCTGGTGAAATGGAGGGGGCCCCAGACAGGGCTCTGCCCCCCAACGGGGCTGTGGTGTCCCTGGGGCCCCTAGATGGACCAAACTAAGGGGGTCCTGATGTCTGTACCTGCAAGACCTGTCTTGGGCCGTGTTCCTGTCGTCTAAATAAACCTTCTGCTTTACTGGCTGGCTGAGAGTCATGGTGAATTGCAGGACGCCGGGGGTGCAGGACCTTGTGTCCCCCACACTCCGTGACAGACCCAGCGACGCGGCGACAACTGGGGCTGAGATGCAGTTTGCTCCCGATCTAACTACCAACCTCTTTATCCAGCCCCGTGCTGTCCCGCCCCAGTCCTCTAGCCCCATCTCGTTTCTCTCTATCTCCCCACTGTCCCCTGCAGCTGTCTCTCCACCCCCTGCCCAGACTGCACCCCTCTATCTTCCTATCCAGCCCCAAACCGCACACACACACTTCTCCCTCCATCCCCATACCCCGCCCCCAGCTGATGGACCCATCACTGCCCTTCCTGGCCCCGTTCCACACCCTGCTGTCACCAAAGCCCCGTAGCAGCCCCGAGAGCGCTCTGCCCTCCTCTGCTCCCGCCAGGCCAGGCCCCAAAGGGGACGAGGCACCTGGAGGGGAAGGTTGAAAAAGGGGAAGAAACCGTCACCCCGAAGGGGAAGCAGGAGCCTGATGCCGCACGAGGCCCAGTCCCACAGCGACTGAGTGCTGTGGGGGTGAGACAACCCACCCCCTAGGGACCCTCCCTCTGACGGGTGGGCGGGGGGCCCCACCCTGGGCTCAGACAGTACCTTGGCCCCCACCCCCGGCACTTTGGCCATGTGACTACCCGTCCCCCCTCTATGTAGGGCATGGGAGATGGGTGGCATCCCTTTAAATCGCTGTGACCCCTCCACGGGCGCTCACCGTGCTCTGCGTGTTGGAAGCCAGCCCCAGCTGGGCCTGGT